TCCTATAAGCAGAAATTAATGTTCTTTTGCTTTTTGCAGTCTCGAAGATATGACTCCAGAACTACCATATTTTCTCCGGAAGGTATTTTTAAACCCAGCCGTGCGGATCTTCTGAATGCGCTAGGCTGTCCCTCCCTGCCCCCCACCAAAATCAATAATAAGCCGTTTATAGGAAGGATGGATGTTTAAAATGTGTTTCAATCCATGTGCGAGTTACATAAAGCACATTTAATTGCCAGGAGTAGCACTGCGTTCTGGATGGAAGCCAAGACTCAAATTGGAGATTTTCAAATTAGTTTGTGCTAGTTCAAGCAATGCCGAGACGCCCCCGCAGTGCGTGTACACGCATTCCCATGTCCCATCTGCTGCCTTTTTTAAACCTTTCTCATCCATCTTCTGAGTATGGAGGGATGTTAATGTTTTTTGTGCTCGCCCTAGAAAATCCATACTGCCCTGGGAGGACAATCGCATTATCCTGGCTATGCACACATGTTCACAAATGCTTCCAGGCCATTTTTTTCCTGTCTCATAGGTGGATCTGGACTCAAAAAATAAATGTTTGTCTTTTATCAGTAGCAGTCAGAGGTATGAATGAACTGGAGAATAGCATCAAACTTCTGTAGGGTACACCTTTATTTAGTGCTTCTTAGAAGGTAGGTGGGGTAAGACATTTTCTCTTAAATACCGACTGGGCCTTTACTTGATATGGAGTTAATATTCCATTTAGCAGCATTTTTATATTATAAGAAACAGTGGTGCTTCAAGGATTTCTTTATATGAAGATAAAGGGAGAAACAGTACTGATTTGTTCTTTTGGGCCCAGCGTAATGGTGCTCTTGGAGCAGAATAGGAATTACTACTTGATTGCATTAATCCCCTAATAGGGGTTGGGCATACACAAACTACTGTCTTTATTGAAAATTAATCTCTTAATCTACTGGAGCAGTTTTGGAAGCTATTAGGTTAAATATTGTCTTTTATAGAAGGAAGGCTCTTTTTTTCCACATTGACAGCACCCTGTATTATATCAAAATTGAGAATTTTATTTCCCAACACCTTTCTCCTTTTTAATGAGTTAACTCACTACAGCCTGAAGAACTAATCCTGCGTTGTACATTTGTCAAACTCTTACTAATTTAACTGCTTTGTATGATCGGTCCTTTTCAGCATTACTTGGTTGATACCGCTAATTGAAACCATCTCCTAGGTCGCTTGTATCAGGTTGAATATGCCATGGAAGCAATTGGACACGCAGGTACCTGCTTGGGAATTCTAGCAAATGATGGTGTTCTGCTAGCAGCAGAGAGACGCAACATTCACAAACTTCTTGATGAAGTCTTTTTCTCAGAGAAAATATACAAACTCAACGAGTAAGTTGAAATGATACCTGTGGTCTGCTGATGTTATGAGTAATAAAATGTGGTACAGTGCTAAAATCTCAGAATAATAGCAGCATTTTAAATGTTTAGCTCTTACTTTGTTCTTTGTTTATTAACAAACATGGTTATTTGTCATTGTTCATTTTAATAAATCTCCACCTAAAACAGAATCATCACAATAACACCACTTAGATTTTTTTTTAAATCACTAGTAATTCCCAGTTTTGAAAAATATGGGAGGAGAACTGAAGGATACACAATAAACCCTATGCTGTGTGCTAGCTTGCACTGAAGGTCTCTCGCACACTGTATGGCTTCTTTAATAATGGGACATGCTTTGTGTGTGCCAGGTGGCCTCCCAATAGGTCCTCTGTGTAGCTAATGGCTTTTGCGAAGATCCTCAGGATCTCATTAGTATCTAGAACTCAATTGGCTGAAGCACAGTCCTACTCCCAGTAACTGACATAGTGACCCAATCACTTTTGTGTGTGCCTGGGCTCTTACAAAACGGTTACATGTTCATGGTGTAACAGAGAGGCGGGTGCTTCTAAGTCTGTTTTGTATGGCAGCTGCGTAGTTTTGATATGAAAAGCCCGACAGTAACTGTTCTGCTTAAAAAACACTATGAAGATGTGACTATTCCTCAGGGATAGGTAGGGTCTAGTTAAACTGTGTGCTTATCCTGCAGGGATATGGCCTGCAGTGTCGCTGGGATAACTTCAGACGCCAATGTTCTAACAAATGAACTGAGACTGATTGCGCAGAGGTAGGTTTGCTGATGAGCGTATTGTTTTACTTGCCTGAGATGTCAGGTTTCTCTGTATGTATTAAGTCAAAATGAGTATGCACTCAGTAGAGTTCATTTTTTTTGCAACAAATCAGCTAGATTTAAGAAGTTTACACATAGGAATTTTTTTTTGGCTAATCAAGATACTTCTCAAACTAAACTTCAGAATCTTAGTATTTTATAATTATAACATTGCACATAATGAGATTAAGGCTTTATAGTAACCTTATGGCAAAAAAAATCATGAAATACTGGAGAAAAATAATAAGCAGGCAAATATATTTAGAGGATATTTGAAGAAAATGGAAAGCAGGGCATAATGATTAATCTGCATTTTACACTGCTAAATCTTAGTCTAGGTGGCTAAGGTTTATTTAGTTTCCATGTGTTTTGATTCCTCTGGTAGCATTATTTTGCTCTGCATTTATCAGCTACCAAAACTTAATCTGATTTATATCAATTGGAGCCTTACATACAAGGTTTATGCTACTTTAGCAGTATAGTTATTGTTAATATGTCAAAACTTACATGAAGGAATTGTTGTAAAGAAACATTTCCACAACAGAAACCTGCTTATTTTAGAATCAGGTCTTTGACAATCCTGTTTCATCTCAATGCAATTGTTAAGGTGCTCCTATAAAGAGGAACATTTCTAAATCAAAACATCTAACTGCCCTATGGAATATAAGGCCATAGAGTCCATTTTTATATGTTTTCCCTCGCTTTTCTGTGTTTCAGAACATGCTTGAATATGTACAGAATGATTCATTACTCTTACAAACTTACAGCTGTCTTGTCACTCTGTGAATTTAAAGTTACAGGCAGCTGTTCTAAACTATTTCTTCATGTTCAAAGACACCTCCTTTTGTCTCTGCCAGCTGGCTACTGTCTGTCTCCCTGTTATAATAGGGAAACACAGAGACACTGAATGTTCTTACTTTTTAAGCAAAATATCTTGCTTTTAAAAGCAAGAGAAGCTTCTGCTTAAGCAGAAGGGTCTCTTCAAGTTGTTCTGTATCTTATTTTGATTATAGTGCTCAATGGCTGTTTTTGCAGATTCCTATTTATGGCGCATACTAAAATAAGAATTTGCACCTGCTTTCTTAAATTTATAAGTGAGATGATAAAACGAGGACTTTTAAGTGTGTTTCGTTGAGCCTTTCAAAATAAGATTGGCCTATGTTTTGCAATTGATTTGTCTTGCAACAGCAGCTAGAGGCTTTTTCTTTCCCCCCCAGCCGATGCTAGTGCCTCGTCATGTGGACTCTGAGTACATACTTAGGTGTTTCAGCAAGTTTCTGTGGCCAGTAGGCTGAGCTACTGCTAGATTCCTCTCTTGAAGTAAAAGTACAGCTTTTTCTAAGATGCAAACCGCTTGCTAGAATCACAGTATATTAGCAGCTTAAGTGTGTATCGACTTTGCATTCCGGAATCCACATTTTAATTCTGAAAGAAATTGAATAGAGCGATAATTGGTATAATTTATGTTGTTTACTGGAATTACTAAGTCAGTGAAAGAAGTTACAGAGACTGATTTATTTTCCACACCAGGTACCTGTTACAGTACCAAGAGCCTATTCCTTGTGAACAACTGGTAACAGCCCTGTGTGATATCAAGCAGGCTTACACACAGTTTGGAGGTAATGAAGTGCAATGAAACACTGTACTTTTAAATGCGTAAAGAATTATTCTGTTGTATACTTTGTAATCTTTGAGTCTCTGGACACTTCTACAAAATTATTTGGTAACATACCTGCAAAAAAACTAGAAAATGTAAGTGATGAGGACACAGTGATTGTTAGTTATTACCGTCCGTTTTGCTAGTGAAACTGATTCAGGCACAGAGAAGTTGGTGGCTGAGAGTCAGGCCAATGGCACAGACTGCTTTATTTAGGGAATGCCAAAGACTAGCAGGAAATACTTTCATATATAAAGTTTAAAAATTTGGAGACACTCCATCACAACAGCAAACTGAATGACAAGTAAGGCTTCCCAATACAAGTATGAGTGTGCCAATATCATAACACTTAAAACCCCAAAAACTTCTGTGGATCTAGCATCATGTTAGGAAGTGGTAATAGTGCTGCTTAATTGTACCTTTTCCTGATAATAGTAAAAGCGTTACAATGCAAATTCCTGACAAAATGGCTGTTCTGGTATTTTATATATCTGTAGTGTGAAAGAACGACCTTTTAATGTACCTGGCTTTTGAAGCTGTTAAGTTATATATGTTAAAAGTTACATACTTCAAAAAATAAATTTTGAATTAAAATCCTGAGATAAGGCCAATTTATAGAGTTAGAAATGAGCTGCTATTAAGGTTAAATGAAATAAACTTCTGCTAGACTTTTCTTTTTTCCCCCTTATGACTTAGTAAAACACTAGAAGTGCTTACAGTAGCGCTTATCTCAAGTAACAGAAGTGCAGAACAGTATTAAATCCTAGTTCATAGGAAGGGATTTGAAAAGGGAAATCAAAGAAAATAATTGTCACTCATGACCAATCTTGTTACTAAATTTGGATTGCTAATAGTACTCTTTTCAACAGGAAAACGTCCTTTTGGTGTTTCTCTGCTGTACATTGGCTGGGATAAGCATTACGGATTTCAGCTGTATCAAAGTGATCCTAGTGGAAATTATGGAGGATGGAAAGCTACATGCATTGGGAATAATAGTGCTGTAAGTTCTGTTCTCTCCTCTAATAAAGTAAAACAAAAATATGTAAATTGCACTCTACTAACTGAGCTCAGTTGTTGATTCATAAATATCTCTAGTAATACTGGTGTTACTTCTCTTAATGGCTTCGATATCATCTGACAGAAAAGGAACTTACTGGTTGGTTGCACAAATATATCGTTTTAATTTTATGTGACATTTATAGGCAGCTGTGTCAATGCTAAAGCAAGACTACAAAGAAGGAGAAATGACCTTGAAGACTGCACTTGCATTAGCCATTAAGGTTCTAAACAAAACCATGGATGTTAGCAAGCTCTCTGCAGAGAAAGGTAAGCATTTCATTAGTGTGATAGGAGGTAAACATCCTTGGCATAAAAAACCAAAATGCACTGAATGCATATGTATTGCATGTGGCTTACAGGGTTTTGTGTGGTTCCCTCTGCTCCTCCCCCAGTAGCAGATAGTGCTGGCATGTCTGTAGAAAAATGATACGTAAAAATCAGCAACTACTAGAGTGATGTTTGAAGATGCAGCAGCTCAGCCTTAACCTTGCAAAGGGGCATACAGATGACTTGGCAGAAGATGATCTACCTTGGTTAGCTGCAGAGGCCAGAGCACAGCCTAGGGGTCACTTTAGGCCACATGGATGTGGTAGCAGAAATGTCCAAGTGGCTGGTAAAAGAATCACCGGAGAGGTAGTAACGTGCTTGTTGTGCATGCTGCTGCAGAAGAGAACTGCTGCCACCTGCCTCAGCAGGCAAGCTTTTTTATTTAAGCAGAGTCAGGACAAGAGCCTTTGCTTCATTGTCAGTTGTAACAGCAAATCTTGCCCTTCTGATGATCATTCCATCAAAAGGAAAAAACATAATGCTGCTGTGTGTTCCATATATTTCAGTTGAGATTGCAACACTGACAAGAGAAAATGGAAAGACGGTAATAAGGGTTCTGAAGCAAAAGGAGGTGGAGCAGTTGATAAAACAACATGAGGAGGAAGAAGCAAAAGCTGAACGTGAAAAGAAGGAAAAGGAGCAAAAGGAAAAGGATAAATAGCACATGAAATCAGGTGTTCCGTAGATAGCATAGGACCTGCTTCAGTAAAAGATAATCCGGATTTCTGTTTCGTAGAAGCCTACAAATATGCCATGGAGGACCAAGAATACTCTTGATGAGCCAGGTCCTTAATCATCATTCACATAATTAGTTTACCACTCCTTACACTGAAAAATAATTGCTTTAATTCTTGAACACTTTCTTTTGTCTCTATTTTTTATTATGGAATAAAATTAAGAAGAAGAGTAATGGGTGTCTTTATTTCCTGAGTAATACCTGGGTATGTACAACTTTGAAAGAATTTACTTGCTTTCAGGTATTAAAACAAGCTATATGCTAGTTGGTAGAGAAGAAATACGGTGTTAAAATTGTTAGAATTTTATGTGTATGTGTAACTTTTCTTTTAAAGTAGTGAAAAGGGCTCTTAAGTTCTGAAAATCATTTGTGAGGTGTTTTCACAAATGCAGAATTAGAGTGTGCTGGCATGCCTAGTTTAATTTTGGCCAGTTTTGTTCTCTTAACAGGCTATGTCGAGCTGGTGTTCTTAAAAGCAGTAGTGTTTTGAACATACCCTGTAGCAGACATGTTCAGTTTATCATAGCCTATCACGAGTGTATGTGTTTTTTTAAGAGATTAGTCATATCACGGTAGTTATTTTCACACAAGCTAGAAAGACATTTTACAAAGGCCACATGAAAATGTTAAGCTATCTATTACAGTACTCTGTTAACATACAGAAAGTTAAATGAAATGTTTTGGCATGTTTTTAGGCCATGTTGACTATTTTGCATTTTATCCTGAAAGGAAAAGGAGTATTTTATATTCTTTAGTTTAATGCTGGTGGTATTTCCCTAAAGAATTTAATTCCCTTTTCTAAACTGATCTCTGTCAGAGAACTAATCAAACAGTTAATGTCTTGGGAAATCACAGTATTTGTACATGGACTAGAAATTGGATTTTTTTTTGTTCCATTTGTCCCTGTCCCTGTGCAGAATGCAAAATAATTCAAAATACAGTTCTGAGATGAAATAAAATCTCTTCTAGTTCTGAAAGAAACGGATCTAGACCTAGTCAAAGTGATATAAAAAGTTACTGAAACTTGCTCCCCTTGAGTTACCAAAAGCGGGTTGAAAATCTCACCTCAGTGACAGATTCTTAACTGAGAGGCTTTTTCTGCTTAACTGCAAACTGTGGTAATGGCAGTTGTGACACAGTCCTTGTGACTGTGATTGTACTCTGGGGATGTCCCCCTTTTTTTTTTTTCCTATAAAACAAATTATGTTAAGAATTTAATGTGACCACTTAAAGAATATGAGTAAATGCATACTGTGTTTTATTATAATCTGCCCCAGACACTTTTGTCCGATAAAACGTACTTTGCCTAAGTGGCCAGGAATTGCCCTTAGTCTCAACAGACGCTGTTTTTTGATCTCCCTGGTCTAAGATTTGTTGTTGAGAAGAACCTGAGCTGAGGTGTCTGCTGCAGCCTGCATGGACGGGGCACCCTCTGTAGAGACACGTGCGGTGACCTGGGTCCTGTGCAGGCTGCAGCAGCTGCTCTTTGATTTTGTAGGCCTTGGTGCAGGACAAATGCTTCCGCCTCCGTCCTGTACCTTGGACTGTACACAGCCCATTTTGTAGTTGATAACGGGTTAGACTAAATTTGATTTGCACCTTCTGCAAAGGTAGATCCTTATTTCCAAGCAGTAAAGTAGGAGAGATATTTCGTGTAGCAAGGCCTGAATAATTGCAGTCCTGCAGTCAACATGCAGTGAGCAGTTTTTAATTTCCATTATAAAGGGTTGTTGAATACCTCAAGCTGTTTTTATATGCATATATTTTTTACAAAGTGCTCCATTTCCTTTTGTTCTTTGATACTATGAATGCAATATTTCAACAGCCTTGTCGATTTCTAGATCATTCTTGATGGTTGTTACATAAAGTGCTTGCAATATGTCCTAAAAACAGTAATGCCAAAATGATCTTTTTTAACTTTGTCAGAGATCGCTTAAAATGTGGTAAACTGCAGCAGTGCTTTGTATATGTGTCTTCTGGCAATCCATTAGAGCAGTTAAGTCTGGGTTCATCGATGTATAGAAATCACACTAGGCAATCTGTTTAGTGTATTAGTAGAAATATTATTAGATAGTTTAGGATATGTATTTACTATTTTTTTAAATGATTCTGTTTCTAACAATTAAAAGGGGATATCAAATACTTTTGAATTTTGTTTAAAGAGTTACCAATAGTGTTTCTTTGCCAAACACTGCATCATTTGCTGGTAAAGGAGAGCCTTGCAGCTACTGTAATAATCTAATCTGGGAATGATTTAAATATCTTTTTAATCTGTATTCCGTTATTATGTATGGAAACATAGTGAAAAGCTGTGTAGTTTCGCTACATTTTAAAACATTTTTATGTAAAGGTTTTATTTACAGAAAATAAGAGTATTGTGAAATATTTTAAGAGCATAATCTCTGGACAATAATTCAGTTTAATTCAAAAAGTGCTGACTCCACTGAGTGCCATTACTAGCTTACTGTGAGAAGAGTCTCACTACTGCCTTGGAATAGACAAGCAACTGTAACATTTCCAATATGCTGTACAGTAGTTGGCACTCATATCTAAGATGTACAGTAATGTTCAAAACCAGATTTAATTTCTGATTCTTGGCTGTATTTGAATCTAGGACAGTAAACAGATGCTGGAGATCTTTTATTGACTAGAATCTTCTGGGGATATCCTTACACTAATTGAAGTTTCTTACCTGTTTTTCCTAGGAATAGAGCAGTGTTTGACTGCATAGACCTATTGTGTAGTTTCTAGCTTTGTGTAAAAAAAAAAATACAAAAAGAAAAAAGAAAAAAAAAAAAACACACCATACTGCCTGTGCCTTTTCTGGGAGTAACTTGGGGATATGTCGTAAGAACAGAAAAATGATTTTGGCGATATGTTTGAGTTGTCTTTGCTAATCAAAATGATCTTCCTATCCTTTGTATGTTTATTTTTGGTGTATGTAGTGGGAAGACTTTATAATATGTTGCATAGTATTTCAACTATTTAGCTGTTGCTGTGGTTTAAATGTTATTTTAACACCAGAACTTCATGTGGTGCTGTGGAAGGTGATATATTTTCTTTTTTTTTTTTTTTTGAATTAGATAACAGTATTTACTTGAAACTGCTTGCATAATAAGTTGTTAGTAAATTTAAAGACTGGATAGTTTATATCTCATTTGAGTGCATGATAGAACTTGTTAGGACAAGTATCCACAAGTAAATTGTCCTAATGAACTGTAATGTATTTTGTTATTCTAAGTAGTTTAAGAGATATAATGAAACTAATGCTTCTCCAGTAATACCTGTGTTGTCTCTTGCATCTGTCATTGTTATAAGTCAGCTTGTTCTCTAGATGATTATACTCTGTTCAAATAAAGTCAAATTAACTTCTAAGGCTACTTCATATATGACTTACTGTATTGTGCACTGAAAGATAAAAGATTCCTTTAGATGCACTTCTTGGTTCACCCAAATAGTTTCCCTTGGCATGAAGTTGTAAAAGCATGCAAATTAGGATGATAAACCAAGGAGTTGTGTATGTTAAATCTCAGACTTCTGTTTTGTTCTGGATTCCCAATGTAATTACTTACTCTTTCTGTTACCAATCTTGAAATAGGGACAATAGTCCTCTTTCACTGTGCTGTGGAAATAAATAAAGTAATGATTACAAAGTCATCAAATGCAATGGTTTTAGAGACCTCAGAAGTACATGATACACAGTTGATATACAACTCAGGATGTAACAAGACATCTAAGTCCAAAGAATTAATGTACTTGTAATTCATAAGATGCTATAGCTTCTGACAAGACTCTCCTGATGTGTTTTTTTAAATTGTCTTGCATGTGCTTTAAATCTTTATTAATGTTCTCCATTATTTTGTAGTAAAAGATGTCCTCCTCCTAAAGTTTTAACTGCAGTTATTTCTATTACAACATGAAAGATGCTAAAATAACTCTTCTGGAGAGAGAAAGAAAAAAAAAATACCATTCACTGGTTATATAGTTCTGGGCTTTAATCAAGAGAGAACTCGCTCTGGCAGATTTTTTTCAAAGCAATTCTGCTTTTACCAATAGAACCGAGGAGCTTCCTATTTTTATCTGTGATTAATGGGGTAATGGGCTTTCACGTTCAAGTACTTTTCATAGTCAAAACTGCTATCGGCCCTTTTACTGGAGATTGCCAGATGGTGCTTCAGTGAGGCCTTCTGATGCCAACTTCAGAGAAAGGCTCAATGGAAGATAACAAAAAATACTCTTGTAATTGTTTAGGATTTCACTCGCTGTTAAGTATTAAATTTAGCAGCCTGTTGTTAACATTGTCCAGGTTCAAAGCAGCAGGAAAAATGGTTTCTTACATTGTTTTCTATGATGGTGACAATAAAAAAACATAATTAATGTGTGCCAGATGAAACTACTAATCAAGATGTTGGGCATGTAACTTAGTTTAAGGCTTTTATACCTTGAAGCATCTGTTTTGCCCAGCTCAGAGCGATCTGCGGAGAAATTCTTGGTTCTGTCATAATAGCAGTTTGCCTTGTCCTGTCCCTCTTGAGGGGCTGCTACGTCCAATGCTGCTAGCAGACAGCATGGCTCTCGTGTTTGCTGTAATACATGTGCTGTTAATAGAAATACAGGTGCTTACATGACAGCCTTAAGCTAGGAAGACTAGGTGCAGCGCAATGGTTTAATCAACAAAAGTTTAATCAAACTTCCACAGCTGTAGCGAAAACTGCAGTGAAAACTCATCTGTGGAAGCTTGATTAGAATCATTGCCTGAGGATTCTGGGGTCATTCAAACTACCCTATTCCAATGTCTCACTAATGATTTTTTTTTAATGTGTTTTGGGCTAAGATACATTTCTTTACTGTATCATTACTCAGAATCATGGTCTGAGCCGGTATATGCATGGAGAATTTCAAAGCAAGAGTCAAACACTGCCTGATCCCACCCGTTCTGCCAGTGCAGGCCGTGCAGTACAGAAGGGGTTGGCGATGCTCCCTGCAGAGCCGATCGACCCAGCCGCGCCACAGCCCGGCATGGGGAGAAACCACCACGTAAGCAGCTGCTGCCTGCGCTGTCTTGCTGAGACGCACAACCTAGATGGGGCAGCAAAAAGATAAGACAATAAGGAAAAACAGACAGTTGTAAAGGAGGATGGAAAAGCTTAAGGCCTCCTGATACTGTTAAAGTTTCATGATGTTAACAAATAGATGCATTTTTCCAATCTATAAAGGGCTTGTTATCAAATAATTTGATAGCTGACAATATACATCATGAATTGCTAGCTTGCCTGAAGCTAATTTTAGGAAGGTGCAAATTTGTTATCAATGGAATCTGGTATCTAGCACTTAAGTAGCAGCTGATGACCTTCCTGTAAAGCCATTTAACTGTCCTGCTCTTTTCTCTCTATAAATGTGAAGGCATTTCCAAA